CCCCGCCGCTCACCTTTTAACCCCCCAACCCCCCACGCCCCGCCAAGTGCCCGCCCCCTGTCCGGCCAGCGCCCACCTGTGTAGACGAGGTCCGTGTACTTGAAGATGCTCTTGGCGGGCGCCACGGTGAGCACCAGTGCCGCCAGGTCCAGTATGAGCAGGCTGAAGAGCAGCGCCGTCACCAGGTAGCACACGACACAGTAGGCCACAAAGATCAGGCCTGTGTGTATGTGTGTATGTGCGCGTGTGAGTGTGAGTGAGTGGGAGAAATAAAGAGAGAGTGTGTGTGTTGCACAAACATGCGCGCGCGCGTGCGCGTGTGTGTTTGTGTGTGTGTGTGTGTGTGTGTGTGTGTGTGTGTGTGTGTGTGTGTGTGTGTGTGTGTGTGCGTGTGCGCGTGAGCACAAGCGCGAGCCGAGCCGAACATCACGCGTACTCTTAGAGATGCAAGGCGCACACAATCGCTCCCCAAGGAGCGCCTTGTCAACTTGACCGTCGCGGCCACACCACTTGCGACATCAACAAGGCCGAGGCCAGGGTCTGATGCCGCGCCCCGGCGGACGTTGGGCCGCCCCCAGGCGCAATCGCCCAGGCGCACCCACCCGAAGCGGCGATGAGTACGTAGGCCACAAAGCCCACGCTGATGATGACGAGGCCCAGCAGGCCGTCAGGGATGGGCCGCAGGCTCTCAAAGGGGTTGAGCGTCAGGATGAACCCGCACGCCTGCCCCGCGGCGGCCAGCCAGCCCTGGAGGAGGCGCGTGGCCGATAGAAGCGGGGGGATTGCTTATACTTGGGCTGGGGCAGGGGGGCGGCGGGTGGTGTGAGGTGGACGGTGGGAGCTGCAGAGGGGCCAACCGCCCCGTGACCGCGGGCATTGCAGGCACGCGAACTCCATCTCTCAGCTCCTGCTGCTGCTGACCGCTGCTGCCACGCCTGCTGCCCACGGCAGCCGCGTTGCAAAGCCGCAGCCGCCCCTTGAAGCGTCCTGCTTGCGCCGGCCCCGCCCACCTGCCGCACGATCAGCAGCAGCGACATCAGCACGTGGTGCGCCGACGCAGCTGCGGTGGCCACGCCCGCCGCGGCCGTGTGGTCGTGCACAAACAGCTCCTGGGGGCGCAGCAGGGTTCGACGGGCGGCGACGTATGAGTGAAGGGCGTGGCGCGTCGCCTGAGGCCTGCTGTGCCCTTGGATCAAATCGACGCAGGAGTAGTGCAGGCTGCGCCCCTGCTGCTGGTGCTTTGCCCCCTGCCCGCAGCCTCCGCCAAAAGCTGACGCGCCATCTGCATCCGCTGCAGCCGCCACGGCCGCCGCTGCACCAGCAGCACCAGCCACACTCAAAATCCGGCAGCGCACTGCGCCCGTGCCGACGGCCAACATCTCGACCCGCCGGCAAAAGCTGCGGCCGCCGGCCGCGCTTACCTTGAGCAGCAGCACGTCTGCCGCCAGGGCCCAGTAGAAGATCAGCAGCCGCATGAGATCCAGCAGGTAGAGCGCCACCTGGGAACGTCCGGGGGCCTGGCACGGTGTACCAGGGAGCGGCGGGGCGGCTCGGGGTGTCAGGTGCGGTGGTCAAATCAAGCCAGGCGAGCTCAACGCAGTCAGAGCACAGATGCGTGTGTGCGCTGTGGAGACACACTCCTGCTGCATAACTGAAGAATTGCGCAGGGTTGCAGACCACTCAGCGCATAAGCAGGCAGCGATTGCCCGGCGCGCAGTGATGTCCAGCGGCCATCGCCATGTCGTGCGCAGCGGCACGCGACGCACCGTCCATGCCTCGTCGCCCGGCTCGATGGAGGCCTCCACTCCAGTCCCATGAGACGCTGGGCCGCCCTCTGGTGCCCCTGTCTCGACGTCATGCTGTCCGTCACTGCCTGTGCCAGGCCCGCTTTCCGCAGCTGAGATGATCTCCTCCTCGCCATGAGCAGCGAGGAGAGGGATTCGCAGCTCCTCCACTTCCTGTATGTTGGGCCCGGCAGCGACGGGGTCGCGTGTGTGCAGCGTTCCCATTCATCCACACACTCACACCACACTGCGCGGTGATCGGCGCCGCGACACACCTGCGCAGGACCTGAAGCATTATCCATGCTATACAAAGGCCTGCAGAACAGCTGCCTCGCTGCGACGCCCTCTATGTTCTGGTGGACCCCTTCATGGTGAGCAGAGTACCGTACGTGCGTGCGCACGCTCTATTACAATGCAACGAATGCAGCAGTATCCCGTTATATGTATCAACATCAACACACGGAACCTTGTGTCAGTGCAGGTGTCGAGAGATCACCGAACGGGTGCCACCGGCTTCAAAGGTGCTGGACGCGTTTACATCGCCTCTTCTACCTACTCTTTTTTTTGCACACTACTCGCCGTTCAACGCCTAGTACTCGCACGGTGCGTCGCCGAGAGACCGTGGCCCCCGCGCCAGTTGCTGTTGGGCGTGCATGATCCTCCTGGCGCGTGCGAGCGTCGCGCTTGAGATCTTTGTGCTGCTGTTAGCTGCTAACGTCGCAGCCGGGGCCGACTCTGCGCGATCCTGCCATTGTGCGATCCCACGGCCGGCGGACGGCGGGCATGGCCTATCGCCCTCTCAACCCTGCATTGTGCGATGTATGGCAGCTGAGTGCATCGGAGACTTGCCCGCACAGTGATCCTGCAGCAGATGCCCTCGCGCGCAAGTGCCGTGCCTGTGCACACCGCAGCTGCTGCAGCAGCTTGAGCTGTGCTCCCTTCCCCTCTGAAGCTACCCATGCTTTCCTTCTTTGCACAATGCAGCCGACAAAATGGCGACCGAGCAGTCTTACATCATGATCAAGCCTGGTGAGGGTCAGGGCGTGGCATGCAACCAACATATGCCCTATGTCCAGGATCGCGGCCATGAGCAGTGAGCACTTGTATTCAAGGAACAGTGCACCCCCAACCGCGTGGAGCATGCCAGCATCTGTTGCCCACTGATCAAACAGTCAGTGGCTGCCTCCTCATGCGCAGCGACCACTCACACCCACACTCGCAGACGGCGTGCAGCGCGGCCTTGTGGGCGAGATCATCAAGCGCTTCGAGCAGCGCGGCTACACCCTCAGGGCCCTGAAGGTGTGCCGCCTCTCGGGCTCTCGGCCTTTGCTGCTGTCCGACCAGGCGAAGCGAGCGGGCCGGCTCAACCAGAGCCAGGCCTCTTTCACCCCCCCCCCTGCGGCACTGCGACTGATCATACACCACGCTGTGGCGTGCCGCGGGCAAGCCGCTCGACATGTGCTCAGCTGTTCCTGCCTCTCGCAGTGGTCAATCCGACCTACATCAAGCATCGCTTGCCTGTCTCTGCTTCGACCGACGCCGCACCTCCGCCTTGGAGCACGCCGCCTCCTCCCTTCCCACACACTGAGCCTCTTGCACACATCCCCTCACTCTGCACCCGCAGCTCCAGAGCGTGGAGCGCGCCCAGGCCGAGAAGCACTACGCCGACCTCTCCTCCAAGCCTTTCTTCCCGGCCCTGGTCGACTACATCATCAGCGGCCCCGTGGTGGCCATGGTCTGGGAGGGTAAGGGCGTCGTCGCCACCGGCCGCAAGATCATCGGCGCCACCAACCCCCTGGCTTCCGAGCCCGGCACCATCCGCGGCGACTTCGCCATCGAGGTATGGGGCGGGGGGGGGGGATGGTGGGCCGTGGAACGGGGGCCGTTGCGTCGAACTGGCTCATGTAGGGGCCCGCTTTGGCAGGCCCCCAGGCGCGCATGTCTTGGAGGCAACGCGGCGCCCGAGGCCCACCTTCCGGGGCTGCGTCTGCCTGTGCGTTTCGGAGGCCGCAGCAGCAATGACGCACCTTGCTTGTCCTCGACGCCTGCTGCTGCCTCAGGTGGGGCGCAACGTGATCCACGGCTCCGACACCGTGGAGAACGCCCAGAAGGAGATCGCCCTCTGGTTCGGCGGTGAGCGCGAGACAGGGGGCAGTGGAGGTTCAAAAAGGGGCCGCCTGCGCCAGGGGGAGGTGGAGGGCGCCGGCGCCAGGCTTAGCTGCTCACCTGCAGGGTTTGCGTCCGCGCTGCTGTGCTCTGGACATGGGGGGCGAGGAGGGGGGTTGCAGCGTGGAAACTGTTGCCAAGCCAGGTGTATGCTGAGCAAACAGCAACATTTTGCGCAACAGCCGTCTTGTCATGCCTTGGGACATTCACTTTGCCACCGACCTTTAAAAGTGCTGCTCGCTTGACGAGACATCACTGCAGCAACCTCACCATCCCTCTCGTGCGTCCGCCAACCCGCCGCCCGCGCGTCCCCCAGAGAGCCTTGTTGACTGGACCCCCGCCGCCAAGCCCTGGATCTACGAGTAGGGCGGCCGCATGAATTCTTATCCCCTTGAACCCCACTCGAAGATGCAAGGGCCCGGACCGCAGCTCCCTCGTGCTTGCTCGCCGCTGTAACAAACCGCGGCGCTGTATTCCAGTGGACTGGGCGGATGGGGTTTGCATTGAACGGGGCTGAGGGGCTCAATGCGGTTGGCTGCCCAGCCCAGGCGGTTGTCTGAGAGAGCACAGGCTGTTGGCACAGTAGCGGCCTTTCCTGTGACAATACAATTCTATCAAGCAACATCTGCACAGCTGCGCAAATGGGAGACAGTTGGGCTGTGGTGCAGCCATTGAAATGGGATGGTCGGTGGTTGGCCAACTCACACTGTTTACCCAGCCTGCTTTGGCCCCGTCACATGTTATTCTGCCTGCAGACTATGTTGATGTTAAGTGCACCTGCAAGAGCACGTGACAAGTGCTGTGGTGCATCTCTGATGCGCGTAAAAGCGCGCCACACTCAGGTCTCGGACCCGCGCATAGGCTATTGGTGCTCTCATCATCCCTTCACCATTTGGGCGAGAAGGCGGCGTCAGCACCTCGCCATTCCTAGGACGGGGTCTTCAACAACTCAGGTGAAGCTTCTACAGCGTCTGTGAGTGTCTGCGAGTGGGCATATTGTATGAAGTTGCGGTTTTGAGCTTCCGGCTACCTCCCAAGTCACCCCGCACCTGTTCCATCATCGGGCAATTGGTGGCTGGTGCTTGCATCGTCCGACCAATCATCGGGCAATTGGTGGCTGGTGCTTGCATCGTCCGACCAATGAGCAACCTTTTATTATTACTTTGTTTAGTACGTCCGCTGCCAAGTGTCATCCCGTGGTCCCCGTGCGATCAATGCGCCCCACATGAACCGCGTGCATTGATTTGGCGCCCCACTTGCACGTCACGAGCAGGTATTTCGTGGCAGCATTAGCCGGCAGGCCCTAAGTGCTGCACTGCGACGCAGCGCCGACGTTGCACCGGCCGTGGACAGCACCGCCGTCCCGCACACGGATACAGCGAGGGCCGCTGAGCCTGCCGGGACAGCCAAGAGCAAGCCAGTCAGCAACGGTGCGGCTTGGCAACCCAAGCAGCCGCAGCCAGCAGGGCGCCGGCGCCGTGCCGCCCGCTGCTCGCAGCCTTGGTCTCCCCTCTCTCGTGCCCGCCAACCGCAGCACACCATGCCGGCAGCGGCCACGCTCGCCTGCTCCCCAGACGACCTGTCGGCGGTTGCCAAGCTCGTGGGGGCCGCCGCGGCCGCCGATGTCTGCGCAGCGGTCGACGTCGCCGCCGCGGGTAGCCCGCTCGCCGCCGTGCTGCGCCATCTGACAGCCGCCAGCGCGGCCGCCAAGCCGGCCGCCGCCGCCGCGGCGGCCGAGCAGGCGCACAGCACGGATGTCGTGTTCATCCTGTTTTCGGGCTACCTGGTGTTCCTGATGCAGGTTGGTCGGCTTTCGGCCGTCTGCGGCACACACCTATTGGTTCCGGCGGCATGCGCCACCCCACCCCTAGGCTTGCCTCGGTGCCACCCCTGCTACCCCAGCATCCCCGTCCACCACCCCCCTCTAGCCTTGCTGCGACCCCGCTCACTCCAGCGCTGCCCTTGACCTGCCCCTCTTCGCTGCCCCCATCCACACCTCTGTTGGCCACGTGGCCACGCGCATTTGCGTTCCAAACGCCATGACAAAACACCAGGCCGGTTTTGCCTGGTGAGCGCGCGTCGTGCGAGAGCCGTGTGCGGGGGGCCGCGGGGCGCAGCGGGTGCCGCGTCATCAGCCAATTGACAGAGCGTAGAGCCGCGCCCACCGCCGCTACAACGCGAGCCGGCAGCCTTGGCACCCCTCAACACTCGTGTGAGGCTCTGAATGCTGGCTGCGTGCGTGACAGAGCGCACGCATGTGCTTGTGTCCAAGTGTGCAGTTGCGTGCGTGCGTGTGAGCCCCGACTCCTCACCCCTGCGTCTAACCCTCCGCCCCGATCCTAATCCTCCACCATGGCTGACACCCGACCCAGCTTGTGCGCGGGCCACGTGCGCGTCAAGAATGCAGGCAACATCTTGATGAAGAACGTGGTGGACTGCTCCGTGGGCACCCTGGCCTGGTACCTGCTTGGGTGGGTTTGAAGGGCAAGGCCATACTAGCCTAAGCGAGAGTTGGGGGCAAAGGGGGGGTCAGGGGCAGGTGGTCAGACAGGCACACGGCTGGGTTGCTGAGGAGGCTGCTTGTGAAACAAGCGGACCAGGCAGCCGCGACAGTGCGGCGTGATAGAGGATGGATCGATTTGCAGGGGTTTGGGCTGTCGATGAAGAGACAAGCACGAGCCGTTCAGAGGGAAACCTGTGGCGATGCAGCGCGCGCCGCGGCCCTGCCCGGCACGTGGAATGCGCTCGCGCCGGGCCGAGCCTGCAACACCAATGGTGCGTCGTCCCAGCCGCATGTCGCGGCCTCCACCTTGACCCCGCCACAACCAATCACGCCGCACCGTCATCCAGGAACGGCTTTGCGTTCGGGCAGTCGAACGGCCGTGCCAACCCCTTCATCGGCACCGGGAACTTCGCGCTGAACAGCGTCAGCTTCACCGGTGTTGACGGAGAGGGCTACCCCCAATTCTTTTTCCACTGTGAGGGCCGCGCTGTGCTTTTGGGGCCGCCCTTAGGGATCCAGCCTACGAAGACCGTTGAAGGGAAAGGGCAGCAAAGCCACTACTGGCTTTGCTGCCATGTGGTTGCAACGCCGCCTGTCACACTTGCAGCACTGAAGCCCATTGCAGCCAGACAACTCCTCCATCATGGCAACACTACCCCCTCAAGCGCCCTGCGTCCCGGGGGGGGGGGGGCTGTGTCGGCGGCGAGAGGACGTCTGCTGCACCAAGCTAGGGAACAACCGATCCCAAAGCCTCAGGCACGCCGCCGCTCATGCATGCCCCACCGCCCTCCCGCCGCGCGCGCCCTCGGAACGCACGCACCCTGGCGCAGGGGCGTTCTCTGCCGCGGCCACGACCATTGTGTCTGGTGCGGTGGCGGAGCGCATCTCATTCGGGACCTACATGCTGTACTCCTGCTTCATGAGCAGCCTGGTGGGTGACAATGAGTGACACCGGGTGACGCGCTGGCGACGCTCGGGTGACACTGGGCTAACGAGGCGTGCCACATCGGTCGTCCGTTTCATAATCACGTGCTTTGGTGATCAAGCAAACCCATTCACAAGCGGCACGGCCTTGACCCCATCTTGTGGAAGCACTGGCAGAAGAAGGCCGCGTGCATCCAAGCATAATGTACCTCTGGATCAACCGCGCACGCCACGGCACCCCACCCTCAGGTGTACCCCGTCGTCGCCCATTGGCTGTGGACGCAGTGGGGGTGGCTGTCGCCGCTGGCGGCGGCCCCGCTCTTTGGCAGCGGCGCCATCGACTTTGCGGGCGGCGTGGTCGTGCACACAGTCGGCGGCGCGGTGCGTGGGTCGCACGCGCTTGACTGGCGGGGGAACGGGAAGGGCGGGGCCAAGAGGGCTGTCGGCCAAAGCGCGTGCGGGACGTGTGTGAGGCAAGCTATGGATAGGAGCAGCCGCAGCACGCCTCAACCTGGGGCCAGCTGCACAACGAAATCCTGTGGCATCCGTTGGCAACCATATGTTTGGGCGTTGTGGTGTCCTGCTGGTATAAATCTGAAAGACGCTGCACTGTGGCCGGCATCCCATCAAAATTCTCCCGCCTTTATCTCCGCTCCCGGAGGGTGTACTCTTCACCCCTGTCACCCGCATCCCCTCTCGAGCCCATGCGGCCACAAGCCCCAAACCCTACCAGCCTCGCCTTGCATGAGCTTAAATGACCCCAGCACCGGGCAGCCGCGGGACGCTGCATCTATCTGGACCCTAATCACAATCTCGCTGATTGTACAAGTCCCCCGCCACCACACACGCAGGCCTCCCTCATCGGCGTATACTTCTGTGGCCCCCGCGTCGGCCGCTTCGGCATCGACGGCTCCCCCTGCAGGGGCTACCGCGAGAACAACTCAAATCTCATTGTGCTGGGCACCTTCCTGCTCTGGTTCGGCTGGTACGGTGAGCCGCCACGACGCGTGGCCGCATCTCGGCCACCACAACTGCCCGAGCAACGCGCCCACGCATCGTGGGCCCGCACTTTGACGTGGGTCAGCGCAAGCTCGGCCTCCACAATGTGCGAGCGCGTGGCTCGGGCGCTCGGCGGCGGCTGCTCCGGGGCTTTGTGACCTGGCAAGCACCGGCCGTTGCTGGCCTTGCACGGTGAAAACGGGGACGCGGCCGCCGGGCCAAGGACGTGTGGGCAGCACGCAGCGCAGCGCTGGAAACGTCACCAATACGACAGCAGCGGCGGCGGATGCCAGTCGCACGGCTGGCCTTGCAGCCGGTTGTCCCTCACTTTCCCCGCCGGCGGGTTACCGCCTGTCCTTGCGGCATGCAGGCTTCAACCCCGGGTCGGCCTTGGCGGTGTCCACCTACTCCACAGCCGCCCTGGTGGCGCGCACCGCCGTGACGACCACCATCGGGGCCGGCACGGGGGGGCTGAGCGCGATGCTGATCGTCTACGCCCTCACAAAGTGGGTGCGGCCGGCTCGCGGTGTGCCCCTGCGCTGTTTGCCATGAACCGCGCCCCATAAGCGTGTGGCAAGGGGTGTCGAGCAGCGCCGTGCGGAGAGTGGCTTCTTTGAGCACTCGGGTCTTGTGGTGTGCTCGTGTGCAGGAACCTGTTGACGATTCCTCGGACGCCCTAAATCCAATCCAATCGCGCGAATCGCCAACGCTTCCAATGTGTGGGGATCCGCCCGACCAGCACCCCTCCTGTTGAGTAAGCGGCGGCAGCCATCCCAGAGCGCTGCCCCCCCTCCCCAACCGCACGGCCGGCACATGCAGGAAGTATGATGTCATGGCCCTTTGCAACGGCGTGCTGTGTGGCCTGGTAGCAGTCACCCCGGGGTGTGGCGTCATCGACCCGTGGGCGGCTGTCATCGTAGCTGTGCTGGCTGCGGGCACGTTCATCGCTGTGGACCATCTCATGCTCAAGTGAGATGAGAGTTGGTACACGCACACGGGCACGCGTGTGTGTACTTGTGTGCTTGTGATTGTTTGTGTGCGTGCTTGCTTGTGTGTGTGTGTGTGTGTGTGTGTGTGTGTGCGTGTGTGTACATGCGCAGTGTCGTGTGTTTGTTTTGGTGTGTGTATGTGTGTGTGTATTTGTGTGTGTGTGTGTGGGGGGGTTATGTGTGTGCGTTTGTGCTTGTGTGCAAGTGTGTGTTGATTACATTATGAGAGCATTCGGACAAAGACTGCGTGCCACAACACAGCTATACTCGTGCTTGCATCTGCACATACCCATGCACGCGCCTGGGGTGTGCGTTTCGGCCCATTTGCCTCTGTGAGTCCTCTCGGCATTCCACTCTCTGGTTCCCCTGGCTTCTGGTCCCCCCCCCCGGCCCCCTGGCCAGGCTGCGGCTGGACGATGTCGTGTCGGCCGTCCCAATGCACCTCGGCTGCGGCGCGCTGGGCACGCTGTGCGTGGGGTTCTTCGCCCGCCAGCAATACGTGGAAGAGGTCTACGGCGCCCCCGGCCCGGCAGGTGCGCGCGTTGCTGCCGGCTGCGCGCGCGGTTACTGCAGGAGGGAGCGTCCCTATATTGCGCGATGTCGCCTCGGCCAGTCGTGCTGCGTGGGGCCCTGGGTACGGACGGCGCGACGGGTGGCGGGGGCGGGGGGAGCAATCGTCTGGTGCAGCGCATGGTGAGGGACCCGGGGATTTGGCGGCCGCTGTTCGACGGGCACAGCAGCTGGGAGAGCAGCTGGCGGCGCTCTTCTTAGGGCTCTTCCGCGCCTTGGCCGCCAACTGACCTTCCCCTGCCCGCCTCCTGTCCCCTGCCCCCCCCCCCAGTCGGCCGCCGCTGGGGCGTCTTCTTCGGCGGCGACGGCCGCCTGCTCGCCTGCCAGGTCGTCGCCCTGCTGTCTGCGCTGTGCTGGGTGTCCGCCCTGCTTGTACCCTACTTCTGGGTGGCCCGCAGGCTCAATGTCGTGAGGGTCCCGGTAGAGCAGGAGATATCAGGCCTTGACGCATCGAAATATGGTGTGCTGACGACCAACGAGCTGCCCACCAAGCCCCGAACTAAGCGCGCCGGGTACGTGTGACCCTGAGGCGCAGGTGACGTGCGATGATGTCATCGTGCGAACCAAGCGAAACTTCCCGGGGAACCCCGGGTTGTTGGCATCGTCATTACAAGACAAGACCAATGGGCAATGATGTCACCAGAGGCATGCTGCACGGGCGAACAAGCCAAACAGTTACAAAAATAAGGAGGTGGCATCTAGTACGGAATGGCATCAAAATTGGGGTTGCATTGCACCATAGTGCATCGTCGCTCAGCCGCACAGCAAGCAGACCGATGATATCTGTCGTGAGTGTTCATTCTTTCTTTTTAAATCGAGGACCGGCCTGCGCCTTTGCAGGGAGCCGTCGGTTGGGCTTTGTCGCGTGTGTGTGCACACGCCTGAGGTTGAGGCTCCTCGTCGCGCGCTTGTGACAGCTTGAAAGAGTGGGTGTTCGGCGTGAATGGCGGCTGCACCATAAACCACAATCAATGTGACTGCAAGTTTGGGTACCACGCACGATTAACTCCTAGCCTGCATATGCCAATGGCCAATCATAGTAGCTGCAGCTCCCAAGCAGCATGTGTTGATATTCACCGGTGTGCATCCTGCAACACAGCATTTGGACTATCAGCATGCTTGTCCTCAACGCGATGACGAGAGCAATCCTGGTGAACGTGCGATCAATCCCCTGATTAATGTAGCACGCATTGCCTCCATCTTTTGACACACAGCGCGAGCACCTGGCCTTGCTGTTGCACGTCGCGCTAGCTGCTTCTGGTGGCCACCTTACTGCACGCAGTTGCAAGAACACACGCCCTGGGCCCCAGTCGCATACGCCGCCCCCAGGGTTTCCAAGGACTCAGGGTTTTGGCCACATTCGTCAATTGCGAGCGCGGCACCTGCAGAGGCGTCGCACACCCTGCGCACTTTGCGCCAACACTTGCTGCACGCCTTAAAAGAAGCGTGGCTGCCGCCATCCCTCTCCACGATATGGGGAGGGTCGCAACCTTGTGTCCAGAACACAAACGTTTGCGCTGATGCAAAATATCGCAAGCTTCCTGCCAAGTTCATATGAGCGCTGCGCCTTGGCTGTTCCGCCATTGCCAGGCAGCAACCATTGCTGCCGGGCCCTGGCGCGCAATTCAAAGCAAGCGCTTCCCCTCCCAAATATTGCGAGCTGTCACGCACGTGTGTCGCACCTACTAATATGTTGCACTTCGCATTTACCCCAAAGTAATGTACAAAGCACAGGGGACCCACGTGCAAAAGCAATTGGACCAGGAGGGTCGGGAGTCATTTGCATGACCAGCAGACGACGGCGATTACAGGAACACCTCAGGAGCCAGGGGCGCTCTCACGTACGCAGCCACCGGCTGCCACACGCCGTTCTGCTGCTGCTGCTGCTCCACTCCTTGGGCCGCCTGCAGCTCCAATGCGGCCTCCCGCAGCTGACGCGTCAGAAGCGCCAGGCGCTGCGACACCGACACGCCAACTTCACCGCCGCCTCCGTCGACGCGTCCCAGGGACGGCGGCCGCCGCTGCGGCTGCTGCCCCAGCGGCTGCCCAGCACCCAGCTGAAACACAGCTGGTGCTCCGGGTTCCAACAACTTCCGAAAGGCTGGACTTCCCCCAACAGACGCCCCAGGCAGCATGCGCGACGTGCGTAGTGCCTGCGCTGGCGACAGAGCATGGTCTGTGACCACAGAATGAGGCGCAGGCCTGGCTGCGTCTGCGCGCGCCTGGCCATGAGTAGCGCTGAGCTGCTGCTGCACCTGCTCCTGGTGCTGCTGCGGCCGCCGCGGCCTCAGCATCTGCACGCGTCCCCGCGGCGATGTGTCTCTCACCGACCGCTGCTGTTTTGCAAGCGAGGGCGTGCGGCCCGGGCTGACATCTGAGCAGCTTCTCCCACTGGTGACCCTGTGAGCGGCCATGCTGCACACACGCTCCTGCCACGTCCCCCCCGGCGTCAGCTGCCCCGGCCCTGGCACGCGGCTGCTGCTGTCGCCACAGCTGCTGCTGCCGCTCGATGCCACGGGCCTCGAGTCGCCGTCTGACAGCCGCGCAGGGCCCTTTGGCTGTGGCAGGCGCACCGTCGCCGCTTCCAAGGATTTTACGCCAAGAGCTGCCCGTATGGGCGAGAGCGCGGCGGGACCGGGGGCAGCAGGGGCAGCGGGTGGCGCGTCACCCCGCAGCCGCCGCTGCAGCTGGCGCTGCCTGTGGCGCAGCATCAGGTTCTGCAGCCGGCTGGTCTGAAGCCAGGCGGAGCCCGCGGGCGGCGCGGAGCCGCGCGCGACGGCCGCGGCGCCCAACTTCTGGCTTTCATGGCCGCCAGCCGGCGCGCACGACTGCGGCAGCGCGTTGCCCGACGCAGCACAGTCCGAGGCTTGCGGCGGCGTCGCATCAGCGCCGGCTGGGGCTGCCCGCCCGGCGCTGGCGAGGCTCCCGCGCGCGGGCGAGTGCTGGGGCGCCAAGTCAGCCAAGGGATTGCCCGGCGGGTCCGCCGTGGTGGGCGCCGGCGGGGCGTCGGGAGGGGCGAAAGCGGCAGGGCTGGGACCGCGGCCGGCGGCGGTCATGGCAGAGAGCCGCGCCTGGAGGGCTCTTAGGCGCTCCAGAGACGACGGCTCGGCGGCGCGCGCCGGCTGCGCTGAGGTGGACGCCCGCAGGCCCGACAGGCCGCGGTCCGCATCCCTCTGCTGCTGCTGCTGCTGCTGCTGCTGCTGCTGCTGCTGCTGCTGACGCCGCTGGTGGTGGTGCTGCTGCTGCGTTGTTGACAGACGCCGCCCTGGCGACGCCCGCTGCGGCGTCGGCGTCGCGGCGGCCGCAACGCGGTCAAAGGCGGCCTCCAGCAGGGTCGGCCGCACCGGCGAGACCGCCGGCGGCCGCGGCCTCTCCCCGCCGGCCGCGGCTACCTGCCCCTGAACGGCCGCGGCCGCGGCGGCGACGGCCTCGGCCACAGGCCGCGGCGGCAGCGTGCCGGCGGGCGAAGGGGCGATGCCGGGGCCGCCACAGCCCTGGCCTGCGGCGGCGGAAAAGCCCACCACCGGCGAGGCCAGGAGGCGGCTCCCCATGCCGCAGAGCGACAGCTCTGACGCGGCTGACGCTGCGCGGCGGGTGGGACGCGGCAGGGTTCCATTTAATTTCAGACCCAGTGGGCAGGCCTGATGCCATGCTCGACACCTGGTCTCACCACTTGTCTGGTTTTGGTGCCAAGCAGGAGTCCACACAGCACATGCAGGTGAGCTGAAGACCGCTGTAGCAGGTAAACGTGGCCCCCTCCCAAACATGGGAGTTGCGGAAGCAGCTTCCTTCGGGTGACCCACCTGGTGACGCCTGGGCGCCGGGCACCCCCAGCGACCACCCGGGAAGCGGGCTCAGCGCGTCGCGCGCCTCCGGCGACCCGCCGCCCGCGGCAATGCTGCTGCCGCCGCCTCCCAACGCATGCACGGCTGGCGGCTCTGACCATGCCTCGTCAATTTGGACCGGCCCTTGACCGCTGCCCGCATAAGCGGCTGTCCCTGCCTCAACCGGGCCCGGCACGCTCTGCGGCAGCCCCGCCGCCGCATCCTGTCCCGCCGCAGCCACTTCCGCGCCCGCGCCACGCATCCCCACCCCGCTGCCGCCGCCGCCGCCGCTGGAGGGCTGCGCCGCGGGCGCTGCGGCGGCGGCGTCCCAATCTGCAAGCAGCGCCTCCCACCTGGCCCGCGCCCCGAACGCCTCCTCGCGCCACGTGCCGGACAGCTGTTTGACCGCAGTCGAGCTGGAGGCCAGCAGCGGCGTCGACAGCGCGGCGGCCGCCGCGTCCATGCCTGACCCCTGCACGCCGGCTGCACGAGCGGACAGCCGCGGCGCCGGCTGTGGCGTCGCGGCGGCGTCCTCTCGGGGATTCGACGGCCCCGCTTCCGCTGCAGAGGGGCCGGTATCGCAGCCGTCGGGGGCCAGGCGGGCTGGAGGCACCTCCCACGGCTTGCTGCCTGTCCAACTGCCGCCGACGTCGCCATTGCTGCCGAGCAGCCCGCCGGTGACGTCACCATGAATGCCGTCGGCGGCGACCCACGAGGCGCCTGCCATGGCGGCCGCGCGGAGCGAAGCCCGTGGCGCCGCAGCCACCGCCGAGCCCGCGCTCGTTGCGGCAGTTGGGGAGCGGTCGGCGGTGCCGGCGGCCGAGGCGGCGCGCCTCAGAGGGGACGCGGCTGCTGCCGAGGCGGCCCCGGCTGCGACCGCTGGCAAGGCGGCCGCGGCCGCGGCCGCTCCACGCCCGTCGGACAGCCACCGCCGCCGCAGGCGCCCCGCTGCGTAGCCACCGACCCCTGGGCTCCTTGTCGGCACCCCTGCCTGCGTCTGCGCGGCCGGGCCCGCCCCTGTATCCCCTGCCCCGCCCTCGCCGCCGGCGCTGCCGACCGCCGCCGTCGGCGCCCCCAGTGGCGATATAGTGAGCCACACATTTGGCACACCCCCAGCAGCGCCGCCGTCCGCTTCTGCCGGCCACGGGCTGGCCGCGAGACCCTCAATTGAGGCCCGCCACGTCTGAGGCGACACCCAGTTCTGCCCTGGCGCAGGCGCCCCGGCCGCCGCAGACGGCGCCGCTGCGTTGGGCGTCGCGACCACTGCTGCAGCGGCCGCGCCCGGGGACCCCGCATGCGCCGAGCCGCCGCCGCCGTCACCGCCCGCTGCACCGTCCGTGGCGTGGACGACAGGGCTGCCAGCCAGGCGGGCGGGCAGGGAGGCCGGCCCCGGAAGACTTTGGATTGCGGGGGATGTAGCGTGCGCCGCCGCCAAGGAGCCCAATGAAAGCAGGCGACGGTGCCCTGGCGAGGCCGCGGCATGGATGGCGCCCGCGGTCATGCGCCGTCTATAGTCAAGGCCGCCGGGCGACCCCGGACCACCGGCAACGGCGAAAGCAGGCGGGCTCGGAAGCCACGCGTCGACGGCGCCGGCGGCCGCGACAGGCGCCGCCATGGGCGTGCCTGCGCCCACCGAGCGGGCCGGGCTGCCGGCGGCGCCGCTGCGCGCCCGCTCTTGCCTGCCGCCCGCCGATTCGCCGGCCGCGGCCGCAGGCGGCTCACGTGAACACCGCTTGTCGCCTTCTTCGGGCCCCGACGCGCCACGAGCGCTGCCGCGCTTGTTACCGCTACAGCTGCCGTTTTCACTGCTGCTGCCGCTAACAGTCAGGCTGCTGTGAGAAGCCCTAATGCTGCCGCCCTCCTCGCCCTTCTCGCCGTCCTCGCCCTCGCCCTCATCGAATCCAAGCCGCCGAGCGGGCCGCGCCGCCGCCGCGGGGCTGCAAAAAGCCTCCGCCTCCGCCAGCAAGCGCGCCGCCTCGCCGGCCGTCGCGCCGCCACCGCTGCTGCCAGCGACTGCCTCTGCGCCGCCCAGGGCCCGCAGCCGCCCCACCACCCGCCTGAGCTCTCCGACTAACTCCCGCCGCCGCGCCGCCGTGTAACTTGGCGACCCTTGCGATTCCGACGGCGCCGCGGCCGCGCCGCCGCCGCCGCCGCCGCCGCCAGCCCCTGCCGCCGCCAGCGGGTCCGGCGCCGACGGCGGCGCGGCCCTTTCGCGGCTCGCGGCGCGCTTCGCGGATGAGGCGCGTAGGGGGCTGAGGACTGCGGATTCGTACCTGGCGTGAATCTGCCGCAGCCGCGGCGATCTGGAGGCCGCGGGCGGCACGCCTGCGGGGCTGCCGCCGCCCGCCCACGCCGGCGGCTGCGCCGGAGACACGAGCGGCGGCGCCGGCGCCGCGGCGCGGCTGCCGCTGGCTGAATGGCTGCTCGAGCAGGCCGGCGACGCGTCAGCTGCAGCAGCGGCCGCGACGGCAGGCGTGGGGGCGGGGGCGCCTGCGCTGGCACGCGCAGGCGGCGGGAGCGGGCTGTCGAACAGCCGCCGCGGCCGCGCGCGGAACACGTCTGCGCCCGCCGCAGCATCGCTGGCAGGCGCCCCGCTCCCCGACGAGCGCGCACTCACCCATCCACCGCCGCTGCTGACGCCGCCGCCGCCGCCGCCGCCGCCCCACGCATCTACGCGGCCACTGCTCCACACGCCACCCCGCTCCGCCCCCGCTGGCTGCGACCAGCCCGATGGTGCGCCGCTTGCGCCTGCAGACGTTGCCGCGGCCGCCGCCGCCACCTTTGCCGCAGCCGCCTGCTGCACGGCCGCCTCCCCAAGCCCCGCAACGCGCTCCTCCAAGCTGCGCCGCCACGGCGTCAGCTGCGACCGCAGCCGCCGGGCGGCCGAACGCTGGCGGCCCGACGAGCCAGGCGCGGCCGGGTTGGCGTCGCGGCGGCGCTGCGCAAGCTCCGACAGGGACAGTCCAGAGTCGCGCAGCGCCCACGGACCCAGTCCGAGGCTGCTGCCCGCGCGGCCGCCCGGCGGCCCCGGGGACGCCGTGCGGTCGTGGCAAGGGGAGCGCGGGCCCGCGGCAGCGATCGACAGCGTCGAGTGGCACGCGGCGGCGCCGCCGCATGCGCCGCCAGGGGGAGACGCGCCGCGGCTGCTGCCTGGCCGGCCGGGTGAGCCTGCAGGTTGTTTGGTGGGTGATGTCAGATGCAATTCATCAGCAATTGCATTTGCGAGCGTGGCTCTGGCAACAGTGGTCGGGAGGGGCATGCATAGAGAACTATACAAGGCAGGCGGCAGCAGCAGGGCGTATCAATGCTGTCTCAGTCCCCCGAGCTGAATGGAGGATGTGTATTTGCACCTCTGCCAACCCCGGTGGACTTGAGTGTGCGCAGGATGGTGTACCATTCCTCCAGAGGGGTCGGCGGGGGCGCGTCAGCCAGCGGCGTGCCGATCTCGGGCTCGGCTCGGCCCCCCGCGCCGCCTGCCCAACTGCTGCCATTGCCGCCTGTGACATACTTGGGCGTTGACGCTGGGCTGCCTGCGTCACGTCACCCCCCGTGGTGGCGGTGGGTGGTTGAGGCGGACGCGCAGGTTGGCGACCGCTCGGCGCCACAAGCAGCTGCATGCGCACTGTTCTCTCACGCGCGCACACGCCTGCAGCGGGGATTGCTCGCCTGAGGTGTCAGCTCGCCGTGAGGCTGAGGCGGAGGGCGAGCGTACCCACGGCCAGGGGCTATGGGCTCCATCGCCGGACGCCAACTGGTCCAGCAGTCCCTGCATTTGCAGCATGCCAGAGGTTTGGTCATGGCCTGTCGACGCAGCCCTTGCCGCAGGTACAATGGGACGATCCGAAGCCGCTGCGCCATGCATGTTCTGATGCTGCCCAGCCAAGTTTGTGTGCAGAAGCTTGCACGCTCGCGGCGCTGCGAGCGGCGGCACAGCTGTCGATGATCGAATCTACGGTCCATGTCAACGGCCACCCGCACCTGCCAGGCCTGCACACTCTGCATCCTGGCAACAACAGATCAACCTTCAAGCTTCACCATGTCGAAATGTCCGTACACCGTAATAACACCGCACAGTGAAGTACCACGTGCACATGCATCAAATTGAATTTGTGCTGGTATCGAGCTTGTCACACGGCTGACGAGGCGCGGTCAACTGGACACGCTGCTTGGACGGCAAGACTTTATTGCCAGCAGGACAAAGTAGCACGGACGAATCACCCTGAGGAAAGCGATACAGGATCCTTGCATCCCCGGAGATCTCATTGCAAGTGTCAGGTCCTGATAAGCCTCTCATTGACTCCTAAAGTAGTGGAAACAGCATGTTAGGCGGTCTCAAATGTAAAACTTTCGTCGGGTGGGCGCAGCGGCCGGCCCGTGTGCCGCGGGTGCCGCTGCGCAGCATGTCGTCGCAAGCACACCCAGGCCACCGCGCCGCCGGCGGCCCGCGCAACCCCCGCTGCGCTGCCGGCGAGCGGGAACCCCAGGCCGCCGCGTCGCAGCCAGGGGCAGAGGAGCTGCAGCGGGCGCTGAAACTGGCGATCCAGTCCGAAGACTATGTGGAGGCGGCGCGGCTCAAGGCTGCGCTGGACGACGTTCTGCTGCAGGACCCCCTGGTGGTGCTGCAGCGGCAGCTGCAGGCGGCGGTGGACGAGGAGCGGTACCAGGTGCACACGGGGCGCGGGCCAGGCGAGGCGGCGACATCGGGGGCCGTGGGGAGCGTGGGCGGGCGCCGCTGCAGCTGCTGCATCGCGGGCATGCACGCAGCGCGCATTGTGCCCTGTATTGGAGTCGTGCGGCGTCGCGTGCCCTGTATTGGAGTCCTGCACCGGCGGCCTCGAGCCGTGTACTGCTGCTCCGCCAGCTGCATGGCAGCGGCTTGGGAGGGGCCGGGCTGTGCGCCGGCGCTGACCAGGCCCAGCGGGCGGAAGGCAGCTCGCGGAGGTGGGCGGGCGGGCCCGCAGTTTCGCAGCGCGGCCGACCCCTCATTGCCGGTGGGACCCCCCGCTGCACCCCCCCAGGACGCCGCGCGGTTGAGGGACCAGCTGCGGGAGCTGCAGGAGAAGCTGCAGCCGCCGAAGCCCGAGGTGGCTGACGTCCCGCCCACCAGCAGCGACGCCGTGACCAGCGGCGTGCGCGTGCGCGTGCAGAGGTGGGGCCTGCGAGCGGCCCCGGGCGCCGATGCTGCTTGAATGGGATGCGCTGCTCCTGCGCCCTGTTTGGCCCCATTGCAGAACGCAGTAGATGCAGGCAGCAGATCTTCGTGGTGCGCGCGGCTGCTTGGCCCTGTAAGCCCCTCCCGCCGCCGCTGCTGCTCGCCGCGCCGCGCAGCACCTACGTGCCGTCGCAGTCCGTACCCTCCAATCGGCAGTTTTTCTTCGCGTACCGCGTCACCATATTGAACGAGGGGCAGATGGTCGTGATGCTCAAATCCAGGCGCGCCGCAGTTGGGGGTCCTGCACCCACGGGGGTCCTGCACCCATGTGACCCGACACACAGTTGGGGGCCTGTCAGCATCGACTCTCGTTCTTGCAGCTGATACCCAGCAGCAGCGCAGCAGAGGCAGCACCTGATGCATCGCCATCAGTGATTGCTCAATGCGCACACGCGTGTGCATGTGCGCTCACAAAGCATGTACACCTGCGCGCCCCCACAGTGCAAAGCGCGCCCCCACACTCACCTGCCTGCAGGCACTGGGTGATCACCGACGGCGACGGCCACACTGACCACGTCCGGTGCGCCGGCAGCCTCCGCGCGCCAAAGCGTCCGTCTGTCACGCAGCCCCTTGTGCTGGCATGCTGCTGTTACTCTCTCTCGCGCCCAACCGCGTGCGTCCGTCCCCAACCCTGAGCACCCTGTTGCGCGCCGCCACCCCTCGGTCTCCCAGGGGCCCTGGCGTGGTTGGGGAGCAGCCGGTGCTGAAGCCGGGCAGCAGCTTCCAGTACGAGAGCGCCTGCCCTCTGCGGACGCCCACCGGCAAAATGGAGGGGGCGTATCAGATGGTGGGCTGCCTCAGGGTTCGCGGGGGCCGTTGTGCGTAGGCTGCAGGCGCAGACGGGGAATGGTGAATGGGGGATGGGTGGAGTTTCGGGGGCTGCCGGCTGTCCGCCTCCAGGCAGCAGGCGGGAGGCGGGCCCCGTCCTCTGCTGCACCACAGCGGTTGGGGAGCTGAGCTCGGGGCCAGCCGGGGGCGTCTCGGCGCGCAAACCTTGCTCGCCATGCAGGGGACATGACGGCCTGCCGGTGATGTGCACGGTCCTGCTCTTCGCACCGAGCCCCAACAACCTCGCTTCCCACCCTCCAAAACCCGAGGCCCCCCACTTTTCATCCCTTACACATCTCGCATGTAACATTGGCTCAGGTGATCATGGACGAGGCAACGGGCGAGTGGGGGGACACAATCGACGTCAAGATTGCCGCCTTTGGGCTCAACAAAGACGACCGCGGCCCGCAACCCTCATGAATCCAGCGCTGTGGCAGGCGGGCGCTGGCACTGGCGTGGTACCTGCACCGGCAGTCAAGGCGTCGGGCTGCGGGCGATGTGCGCAGACGCGGCGCGCATTGCTACTTGCAAACAGATATGTGGCAACTGTCCAACCACCCTGAATGCACAAATGACCCTGAGTAACCCCCCGCGAAGGCATTGCACCTTCCAAAGCTTAGTGCAGTGGCCCGGCTCTCGAGGAGGGGCGCCAGCTCCAAGAGGCGTAGCTGATGCAGCAGCTGGCTAGCAGCCCAGGCCACGGTGCTGCTCGGAGAGCAGCACCTGGCATGCAGCTGGTGTCCCCCCAGCTGCCCTCCGCCTCAGGCTCTTCTGGGGTGGCAGCAGCCACCCTCGTTTTCGATCTTGTGCTTGACAGCACAACTGGTGGCTACCCGACCCGACAAAGTGTTCCCACCCGCTGACACAACACCGCTGGGCGTCACCCCGGAGCGCAGCGCCAGTCTGCGCTTGCGCACACGCTTCAAAGGCCCATGCGCTGGGCGGCCGCGACACCCGCTCGCCACACACCCCTTGCTCGTCGGCACTTGACAGCGCGCGCGGTGCACCAGTTGCCAGGGCGGGTGATTGGGTAGGGCGCTTTGGCGGCAGTGGGCAGCCGCGGCTTTGCCGCAGTGAGAATCCTTTGAGCCGTTTGCCACTGTGATTATCTGCGGCATCGGCTTATTGGCTAGTCAGCTGTAGCAGCAGCCCCCCCTCCACTGGGGAGCAACAAAGTCATCAACTGGCCCGGGAGGTTACCATGCCGGTGCAGGTTGGGCGGTGCAGCAGCTGATGACGAGCCCTTACAAGCCACGAGGTGCACATGAAAGTTGTATAATGTAATGACGGTTGCATATCCGTCAACTTGGCAGACAGCAGGCGCCGCTGGTGTTGCTAGCCCACGTGGAACGTCCTGGTTTTGAAATGCCACATCCTCGTCCCTCTGCGAGTCCCAGAATCAGTCGAGGGGTATAAGATTATATTTTATATTTGTGTATCATACCCGTCATCAACTCGAGTCCCTTACATCCCCCAACCCCGCAGGGTGATGCACGCCTCGTCAACCCTTCCTTTCATACCACTCTCAGGGCGATCCGAGCAGCGCGGCGTCATTCAACAGCATCGAGGTAGACCATTTTGACAACCACTTCTTCCTCGATTTGGCTCAGTCGTAAATCGGCGTGAATACGCAAGATCAATTCAGCGCGCAAGTTGTACGCAGTCGTGCACGGTGGCCGCTGGTATTCAAACTATAAGCTAGATTTGGAGGGTATAGGACGGGTCTACGGCACACGCAAGTGTTTAAGCATGCAGGCTCCCGCCGCTGTTATGCCGGGAGGCGTCCTGGTGCCAGGCGCGGCCGTAGGGTCTCCTGATGAGGCCCACAGTTGTTTCGTTGGGGACCTGAGCCCGGACGTGAACGATTTCCTGCTTCAGGAGAGCTTTCGGCAGTTCTACCCCAGCGTCCGGTCCGCAAAGGTATGCGGGTGTGTGTGACCATGTTGTAATCCACTGTAAGGCGGGCACGATGGGCCCATGCAGGCTCGGGTCAACCGTGCGTCAGCTGCTGCTGCTGCTGCGGGTGCATTAGCGCAACGCGCTCATCGCGACAGGCCGTTTTTGTTGGGCACCAGGCCAGCGCGTTTGGCGTTGAAAATTGCACTTGTGCACTTTGGGGCCGTAGCGCGCCCGCTCGCTCGCCGGCCCTAGGACCGGCCCAAATCGCCATCGGCCCTGCAGGTCACGCGGAGTCATTACTGAACCCCGAGCCGCGGCCCTCACCACCCCACCCCTGCCATCGCGCCACCCGCCACGCCCGCCCCCCGCAGGTCATCACGGACCCCGCGACCGGCCGCTCCAAGGGCTACGGCTTTGTGCGCTTTGCCAATGAGATGGAGCGCGACCGCGCCCTCGAGATGCAGGGCTTCAACCTCAGCGGCCGCCCCATACGCGTCAGCCTCGCGACCGCGCGCCGCGCGGGCGGCGGCGGCGCCGCGGCCTCCGCCGCGGGCGCCGCCGGCGCGGCGTCTGCGGCGCCGCACCCCGCGGAGCTCGACCCGACCAACACGACGCTCTTCATCGGCGGCCTCAGCGCGGGCGTGTCTGAGGACCAGCTGCGCGCGATCTTTGGGCAGTATGGCGAGACGGTGTACGTCAAGATCCCCGCCGGCAAGGGTAAGATCTCTAGGGCCCAGGAGTGAAGAGGTCCGGAGATCCAGAGAGCGAAGGATGCATGCGCTGCGCTGTGCGAGCACCTGCTGCGGCAGAGGTGTCGTCAGCAGGCGCCAGCTGGCACGCGTGATTGCCCCCAACCCTGTGTGCCCGCCGCGGCTGACTCACGCGCGTTCACGCGCGCGCGCCTGCCCGTGCCGCAGGCTGCGGCTTTGTGCAGTTTGTTGAGCGCCCCGCCGCGGAGATGGCCATGGCCGCGCTCAACGGCCAGATCATCGGGACCAACGCGATCCGCATCAACTGGGGCCGCTCCACCAGCCGGGCCCCCGTCGCCGCGCGCAACGGCGGCCTGCCGCCGGGCGCGGGCGCGGGCGCCGGCGCCCTCGGCGGGCTGGGCGGCGCGGCGGCGTTTGGGGGCGCGGGGGCGGCGTTCCCTGGGGGCGCCGCGTACGGCGGGTTCAACGGCTCCGGCATGCTGGTGGGCACTAAGCATCATCGCGCCCACACGCATGAGCTGGTGCGCCGAACGCCGAACGCCGCCCCGCCCGTGCTTGTGCTTGTGGCCCCTCCCTCGATCCTGTCGCCCCCAGACCCCGTCGCGCGACGCCGCAACCCCTCGCGCGCAGGCCGCCAACGGCTTTGGCCCCTCCGCCGCCTTCGGCCTGTCCGCCCCGATGGCTGCCCCCCCGCTGGGCGCGCTCGGCGGCGGCCCGCAGGGCGCGCCGCAGCAGCAGCTTCCCGGCCTCAGCAGCGGCCTCGGCCTCGGCGGCGTGTCCAACGCGCTGCTCAGCGGGTTCGGCTTCGGGCCCGGCGCGGGCGTCGGCGGCGGCGGCGGCGGCCTGGGGCCGCAGGGGCTGCAGTTCCAGTTTGACCCGACTGGGGCCATTGGCATTGACAAGCTCAACGCCGCGTTTGCCGCGCGCCAGCAGCAGCTGCTCGGCGGCGGCGCCTTCCTGCTGCCCCGGACCTGACCGGCGCGCGTCGCGGCGGCGCGCCCTGCGGCGGCGCGGCGCGCGTGGGTTTGGGAGGGTCACCGAGGGCATGCGCTCGTGGCGGCCGCGGCCGCGTATGGGCCGCCCGAGGCGCCTCGGCCGCCCCACCCCCGTGGGCCCTCGAACCAGCGGCAGCGGGCCCCGGGGCCCAGGGTTGAAGCCAGCCACGCCGCTTGGCACGCAGACGCGGCTGCTTGTCTGCCGCAAGACGTACAAAAAACGCGTCGTCTTCGCTCGCTCGCAACCCTGCCGACTTGCCGCGAACATTGTTTTGCTCCTTCAACTGGAGTCGGGCGTGCGCGCGGCGGCCGGGGCACACCACTCTGGCGCGCCTCTGCTGCACCGTGTGCGTGACCGCAGCGCGCCGCCACGCGCTCGCGGTGGCGGCGCCTCAGGCCCCGCGCCGCGCAACGCCTGTTTTCGCAGCCGCAGTATTCAACCGCATAATCGGGCCCGAATCGCAAAGCACGGGCAGTTTTGCTGAGCCGCTACTTGCTACATGTCTGTTTGGTCACAACGCTCCCCCCCAACGGCCCTTTTCTCAGCGCCTCCGGCTCTTCTCCGCCGCGCCTGCTTGTGCTGCTTGCTCGCACCCCAACGCGCCGCGCTGGCGCGCCCACTTCCCCGCTCGCCCGCGCGCATGCGCACGCGCCACGGTGTGCCCCGCCCCCTGCCGCCGCGACGCGCGCCGACGGCGCCTTTGATGCCGGCTGTGTTTTCGGCGGATGCCGCTGCTGCTCGCGCCTCGCGCCCTCGCGCCTATAACACACGCGCCGTCTGCCCAGCGTCTGCACCCCCCTCGTGTGCCACCACGCCTGGAGGGCTCTCCTCGCCTTTCCGTTGTCGCCCCGCAGCCGGCCGAGGGTTTGTGCGCGGCCCTGCGTCGATTGGCCCTCCGGGACCGCAGAGCTGCCTCCGAACCTGTGGGCAGGCCCGGCCTCACTGCCGCACAGCGAGCGGCGACGGAGGCCCCCGCGTGTGTTTGCCCGGCCCAAAGCGGCCTCATATCACCCGTCGCCGCCCTAGCCCGCTGCTTTCGAAGCCGAGCCAGTGGCGTTAGTTCCTAATTGATCCCCTGCCCCCTGCTGCATGGGGGTGGGGGACTGATCTTGCCCGGCGCCGCTGCGTGCCCCGCAGCTGCGGCGGTGTTGGCAACGGCGCCTTTAAACTGGAATTGAGGGCCGCAACGCCGGCGGGCGCGCCGCCGCGCCGGGCGGTGCGG